AATTCGGTTTAACCAATAATTAGGAACAAAATTAAAAACTGGTTTCTAGCTTCCAAATAATTAAAATTTAATTAAACCGGGACAAAAGTGGAAAAAATTGACTGATATTTTTGTTCGAACCAATTTTTGTTAAAAAAAATTAGGATAAATTCTTATTATTATAATTTTTGTATAAAAGATATAATATATTTTAGTTTTTTTTTCTTTTTTATCTCATGTCAACTTTAAATAATACTTATTTTATTATATTTTTATCTTATTTTGACAATTATTCATCTTCTGTCTAATATATTTTATACTTGTACCCTTTATAACTTACAGTGACAATGAGAGTAACTTTTATTATTTTTCATTATTGGATTGAAAAAAAATATTATTATTAATGAATTTATTATATAGATATCATATTATAAAAAATATTTTATTAAATCTAGTTGGACTTTAATTGAACTTCGGTTAAATATTTAAACCTTGAACTCGTATCTTCACCGGTTTAGCGGTTAATTCAACTAAGAAACCGAATTAAAAACTCTCTACTGCTTCCAAGCAACCAAATTTTAATTAAACCAGCAAAAAATTGGAAAAACCGTCTAGATATTTGGGTTGAACCGGTTTTGGTAATGACAAAAAACTATATAATTTTTTTTAAATATAATTTTTTTATAGAAGATATAATATATTTTAGTTTTTTTTTTCATTTTTATCTCAAGGTACGTCAATTTCAAATAAAAATTATTTTATTGTATTTTTATCTTATTTTAATAATTATTTATTTTATATTTTTAAATATATTTTTTAATTATAACATTCATTGTAATTTTCACTTACCATTATAATAACCTTTATTATTATTTTTTTTATTCTTTTGTAAAATAAATTGTTACTAATGAATTTATTATATATTTATTATATTACAAAAAATTATTTTATTAAATTCGGTTGGATCTTGGTTAATATCTGATTGTATCTTTAAACCTTAAACTCATATATTTACGAACGGGTCGAATTTGAAATTGAACTAGAAGCTGGTGTTCTGCATCCAAATGACCAAATTTTAATTAAAACAGAGAAAAAATAAAAACTAAATTTTTTGTTTGGTTTTTGGATAGAAACAATTTTGGTAAGAATAAAAAATTAGGATAAATATTTTAATAAATGATATAATATATTTTAATTTTTTTTATCTCATATTAATTAATGAACTATAAATAAAAATTACTGTATTCACGTATTACTTCTCCTTTTATATGTGTAACTTTATTTTACTTAGCATGACTATGCTTATTATATTATAAAAAAATGATCGTTAGAACCTAGTTGAACCTCTCCTAAACTTTTATACTCAAAACCCTTGTCATGACTAGTTTAATGGTCGGTCCGAATCAACTGATGTAACTGGGAACTCAGTTAAAAATTTGTTTGTTGCAATGACTAAATTTTAATTAATTTGGGATAAAATTGAAAAAAATCAGTTAGTTGAACTTTTTAATTGAATTGGTTTTAGTAAAATAAAATTTTAGGATACTATTTTATTAATATAACTTTTTTTTATAAAAAGATATAATATATTATAGTTTTTTTTCATATTATTTATTTTATTTTAAATAATAATTATTTATTATATTTTAGTAATTATTCATCTTTTACTCTCTAATAAAATAATTTTAATTTTTAACTAATGATGATAACAATAACCTTCATTATTTTTTTCTTTTATATAAAAAAAGCATTGTTACTAATCAACTTATTATATTATAAATTTATTTTATTAAGTCTAATTAGACCTTGAATCCTGATAAAACTTTAAAACCTTCAACTCATGTCTTCCCTATTTCACTGATGTTTAACCTATCTAATAAAAACTGAATTAGAAACCAAGGGTGTTGCTTTTAAATAACCAGATTTTAATTCAACTAGGACAAAATCGATCGGATTTTGGGTTAAAACAATTTTTATAAAAAAAAATAAGATCAATTTTTTTATAAAAAATGTAATATATTTTAGGTTTTTTTTATCTTATCTCAGTATCAAATAATAATAATTATTATTCTATTATATTTTTATTTTATTTTAACATTTGTTCATCTTATCTCCCTATTATATTTTATAATTGTAACCTTTGTTGTAACTTATAATTACAATGAAATGAATCTTTATTGTTATTTTTTTAAAACCTGGTTACTAATGAGTGTTAGATAAATGACATCTAGAGAGGGTGAATAAATGCATAAATTAAAATAGATGCCAAATTAAAAATTTATTTGTGAGTCAATAATTTGTTAAAGCAGAAACAATAATATAATCATGCAAAGAGAAAGAGATAAGGGAAAGAGAAGAGTACACAGAGATTTATACTGGTTCGGGTATAGTCAACCCTACATCCAGTTCCCAGTCAACTCTTAACACAAGAGTGACTCCCCATTCACTATCTTTCAAATTCAGTTTACAAATTACAATCAACTCAATAGAAGAACTAGTAAAAAGTAAACTAATTAAAAAGACAATCACCTCCTTAGAAACCCGCTAAGGATGAACACCTCCCTAGAATCCCACTAGGGATAAATACCTCCTCTGAACAAATCAAAGGATGAAAAACACCTCCTTAGAATCTCACTAAGGATGAACCCCTCCTTAGAATCACACTAGGGATGAAAAACACCTCTTTTTCCACCAATGCAAAAATGATGAAGGTAATAAAAATAAGAACAGACACACCTGGGTAATGGAGACAACAAATTATAGAAGTCTGTAGAATGTCAATATCCAAGAACAAGTGTGATGAACAATGAAAGCACAAAAGACAGTAGAGAAGATGATTTTCTCAAAAGGTGTAAAATATCTCTGTTGCCTTGCTCAAAATTCTTTTCTTAAAACTGATTGAATGTAAATTGTATTTTCGAATTCTGTAATTGTGTATTTTTGATTTTTCATTAAAACTTAATTAAATAAAAAAATACCATCAGAAAATGGGCGTTGGACATTAATAATATCATAGAGAAAATCAGGATGTATTAAAAAACATTTATTCTTTAAAACGGATATATTTTTCAAATTTGAATTGGCATAATTGATTTTATTACCAGTATAATTAATTATGATAGAAAAAATCATTTTTCCATTTCTGGTGCATCATAATTAATTATGACAGTGAAAAATATAATGTTATGAATTTTGGAGGCTTATGCATAATATTACTTCATCAACTTGTACCTCCATATTCAGTATTCTAAGACTCTATCTAGTCTTCAGGAATCATCTTGGGCTTGCTTGAATTATCATCTTTATCACGTATTCCTTAAATTCATCTTGAATGGTGTTGACTTGAATGTAATTGACTTGAATCATCATCAAAATCATCTATTGGGAATGCAGGAACATTTCCATCAATCTCCCCTTCATTGCTTTCAATCTCCCCCTTTTTGATGATGATGAAGGAAACTCCTGAAATGAATTAAAATGGTTAACTCTATATAGCCAACTCAAGATTAACACAAATTTGTGTCAAGTGTCAGAGTCTCTCAAATATATTTCATTGTTTATATTGGACTCTCTAATCTATATTGTATTTGTAACCTCTATTATACAAAGACAATAATCTTTATTATTTTTTTTATATTTGTAAAAAACAATTGATTACTAAAGAACTTATTATACATTTATTATATTATAAATTTTATTTTATTAAATTATCTTAATTCTACTGCTTAAATCTTTAATCCTAAATTCATGTCTTCATCAGTTTAATGCCGGTCTAGACGAAAGTCAAACTTAAGTTTGGTCTACTGCTTTCAAATAACCAAATTTTAATTAAATCGGACAAAATTAGAAAAAATGATTAACTTTTTAAGGCGAACTGGTTTTGGTAAAAAATAAAAATAAGATCAATTCTTTTTAATATAATTTTTATAAAAAGATATAATATATTTTAGTTTAGTTTTATTTTTATCTCCTATTAGTTACATTAACTTTAAATAATAATTATTTTATTGTATTTTTTACTTTATATTTAGTTTTATATTATATACTTATAATTTTTATTGTAATTTATATTGATCATGACAATAACATTTTTTTTTACAAAAACATATTTGTTATATACTTTTTATATTATATAAATTTATTATATATATGGGTTAAATCTTTAAATCTTACATCCATGTCTTCATCAATTGCTCAAATTAATTTACTATTTATAAATAATCATATTTTAATTAAACAATGATAAAACTATCAAAACTAAGTTTTTGAATGGAATCAGTTTTAATAACAAAAATTAATTTTTTTTAATATAACTTTTTATAAAAGATATAATATATTTTAATTTTTTATGTCATTTTTGTTACATTAATTTTAAATAATAATTATTTTATTATATTATTATCTCATTTGTGTAATTATTGATGATACACTTTTTAATATATTTTATATTTTGTAATTTTTATTGTAACAGTCACAATAACTTTTATTATTTTATAAAAAACATTATTATTAATAAATTATAAAAATATATTTTATTAAATATAATTGAAATTCGTTTAAATCTTTCAACCGTAAACCTCTCTTCAATTTTAAAAGCATTGGAAAAAAGCACAATTATTAATAATAAATGATTAATAAAAAACTTTATAAACTTATAATAATAATAATAATAATATTATTATTATTATTATTAAAAGATTTAAATCGCTACAATCTCAATAACATATTATTAGGAAGAATCTCAATAACATTAAAAGTAATAACTTTTTATTAAATTTGTGAAAATCAAGGTTTGATACTTTTATTATTGAGTATTAAAATTAATGTGAGTGTGTATCTAGAAAAAAACAATTTTCTCTAAATATCAGTATATAAGTAACCTAGGTAATTAGGAATTTAGGATTTGACTCGTTAATCCTCGTATTATATACTAGCTTCAACTTCATCTACTGCTGTGCTGTGTAGTTCAACGTAGGGTGAGTCTGCGGTGTGCCTTATTCGCTTCTTATTTTTCCCCGCGAATGTACGGCCACCCTTTCACTTTCCGCGGCGCCCATCGACAGCCGCGGCCCCCGCCGCACTCCTCCAACGCCACAAACCCTAACAACATCTTCTCCCAACCACCGCTGCCGCAGTATTCTCCGAATGTCCCTAACCACAAGAACGCCTTCTGCCGGCCACCACCGCCAACTTTCCCATTCCCCAACACCGGTTGCCTTTTTCCTCCTCAGAACCCAACCCCTCCGCCCCCAAACCCTAAACTCACCATCGAACATGCTGACCGCGCCGCCGCCACCGCCTGCCGTGACCTCCTCGCCGCTGGGAACTCCGTCTCGGCGTGGGAGGTCTCCCAGAATGCTCTCGTGACGCTCCAACTGGATTCTTGGAACTCTTTGGGCATCAAGATGCAGCAGGTGCCGTCGCTTCACCGCCTTATGATCACCGAAGGCAAGGTATGTAAATTTGGTTAAAAAATGATTATTTTAGACATTGAATTGAATAATGAATGAAGAAACCATCAATGTTTGCGCATGAAGTATTTCTAATACTCTGTCCTAAGTGGCTCCTAAAGTAATAAAAACTCTTTCACCAATCCTCAAATAGTCCTAATTTGAAAACTAAAAGTTTAAGAACCAATTTAAAGTAATTTGTTTATAATATTTGGGAGACCACTCAACGTGATTTCCAATGTTTCTTGGCATATTTAGGTATTTTTATTTTTTACTTTAGAACCACTTAAGAGAGAATAATGCTTGAAGGATGATATTGGTGGTTTTCTTTTTCATAAGAAAGGGGGTTACTATGTTTTTGGTTGCTGTGCAGGTGAATGCTTTTATCCATTGCTTTGTTGGGGTCCGGAGGATCGTTTCCTTGTATGATTTGCAAGTGGCAATATGCAAAAATGAGGGTGTTGATAACTTTGAAGCGCTAGGGTTGGGACCTTTGTTGCAGCATCCCTTGGTTATTCATTATTTCTCCCTTCGCTCTGATTTCACCCAGGTGTTTAAGATAACCAGTGAGGAGATAATACAGTTGTTGAGTGAGTTTTTGGATGCTTCTAGAAGTAAGGAATTTATCAAGGTTGAACAGTTTTTGGATTTTATTGCCAAGCAACGATTGGTTAAGTGCAAGGAATGGCTTGGGATTCGGATTCGGAACTTGGGGTATGTTTTTTCTTGTTCTCCTTACATTGTGGTTGAAGTGTCGTGTTCATAAGTGGTATTGGAAAGAGGAAGTGAACGTAATATATTGAAGATATTTATGTGATAATGCCATGATTAACGCTCCTCACAAAAATTGATGACGTGGGAGATTTGATATAATGCTTGGTAGACAAGTGCAGTTAGTAAGCAAGTAAAATTTCTTAATGGGTTATATCTTATATGTTATTATGATATTTAATGTGGTGGATCAAAATATAATATTTAGAGTATCAGTGTTGATATTGGCATAATTTGCAAATGGATTATCTTAGCACTCATGCAAGACACTTCAGTTCTGTTTAAGCAAATTGAGTTGTATGATTATGTCATGCTGATCATACAGATAGAATGGGGGAAGCTGAGGGTGGGGGTTATTTTATACTTGCATCTTTAATGTAAATTTGAGTTCAAATATTTTTAATTGGTTTTAAAATTATTTTATTTCATAAAATTTGGGATTCACACAAACTAATTCAGAATAACCTGTTTGCTTCTGGCTAGACTGGAATCTTTTCTTAAAATTTTATTTTACTCTGTTTTCTAGCCTTTACTTTTTTGGGCAATAGTTGTAACATAACTTTTTTGCAATCTAGTTTTTGAAGAAGAGATATTGTTATTTGTCTATTAGTAGCATTGCTTTTTTCTAGCCTTCTCCCTTATTATCTTTTCTCACATCATGCCAATGCCAAGAATAATATTTATATCTCCATTTCCCCCTTTAATTTCTTTCATTGAAAATTTTATGGCTGGAATTATTTGTTTGATAAATATATTAGTTTCAAATGTTCCGAATTGAGATTTGAGTGTAATTTTCCCACAATTTTTTTTTTGTGAAGACCAAAAATGTGCATGGACAGTTCACTATGGTAATGTGCAGTGCTATCAGCTTGCAATAACCACCACACTACACCAATCTTCTTAAAAATCTCATTGAGGAGAGAAATAATTACTTTCCTGTTGGCAGGGTTTTTGTTCTCTGTCCTCTGTTTGGTTTAGATAGGCTTTCTTATCCCAAATTACTGATTTTATATTCACAGAATGCATATATCTGCCATACGAGAAGCTAGAACATCAGAGCAATCAACACTAGAGAAATACTTGAAGACCTTAAATTTGAAGAATGATAAGTTCGGGAAGCATCCTCTTTCTTCCTCTCAGAAAAAACAGTTAGATGAACGTTTTAATGCTATTACTCAGCGTGTTGAGTCTTTTTCTCCTCTAAAAAAGTCTTTTTGTGGAAAGCATATAAGATTTATGTCATCAAGTTCAGAAGATGAAGATAGTGATTCTTCTGCAGATGAACAAAGTAATAATATTATGGGTAGCCAGTCAAACCCATCATCACAATTCACTAGAAGTTCAGAACGAGTGAGTAGTTGTCCTTACCCATCTGCAACTGAAGAGATGGCACGACTTGGGGTGAGGAGTGATATGGTGGGACACTCCCTTGTTAATAGCAGTCTTAAAAATGGATTTAGTGAGCAACCTAGGAAAAAAAGAAAATTTGAAAATGTAACTTCTACAAAATCTGCTCCTTATAAGTTGAGAAAGAGACGTGTTGTAACCCCAATCAATAATGGTAATGGAACAGTAAAAACCAAGGTATCAATCAATATGGAAGGAGATCTTTCAATCCCTAATAATTCTTTGCAGTTGTTTATCACAACCTGGAAGGAGGCATGTTGTGAGCACAAGGTTGCTGAGGTAGGTGTTTAAGATCACAAATTGTGGGTTTTATTTATGTGGTGCTTCATTGATTTGAATATTTGTTTTCATTTTCATTTTCTGTGAATTATTATTCTCTCTTCTATATCAGTAGACACTATTAATATGGAACTTTGGAGAATATAATTATTGGTTAGGCTTTTTTGTATCTTTTTTTTTTTGAAAATCATATTTAGCTGAAACATGAATGGATGTCCCTGTGCGTTTTTGAGCTTGAGGGAAGAATTTAGAAGCACTTCCATGGCTTGATGGGTGGATCCTTTTGAAACAACTAAAAGTGATCTAATAGGTTGTATCCTGTGGATTCAAAGGTCTATAATCATATTTGCTGATTTTGCTAGTATCTTATAGGCAGTGGCGGATTTTCTTGGGAGCTGAAGGGGGCCGTGACCCCCCAAAAGTTTTGTAACTCCCATGTAATTTATGATTTTGGCCCCCCCAAACATAATGAACATTTAATATATTTACTTGTATATTTACAATTTTATCCTCTAAGCCCCTCTTCAGTTTTAAAACTCTCATATAATATATGATTTTATTCCCCTCAAACTTAATGATCATTTAATATATTTAAGTATATATCTAGAATTTTATCTTTTCACCCTTTCATCTTCTTTCTTTCTTTTATATTTATTTATTATTTATTAATAATATATTATTTGACTCTCCCAAGATCAATGGTCAAGATCTGCCACGGCTTATAGGATAGTTATACCCTTGTATGTTGCTTTACGGTGCTCAGGAGGTGTGATTTTCTCATAGTTTTTCCTTTTTCCATCTCTTTTCTTACTTATATCCTTTCTAGTCAAATGAGCAAAAGGCATGCTTGAGGCCATGCACTATAATTATCTCCTTTCTCGAGTTGAGACTTGAGATAGTGCTACTTGTAAAGCGATCCATCCCTTGGTGCCTTGGATGAGTCTGTCATTCAGGGTGGGTATGCTTTTTAGTGCCTTATTGATAGCAAAAAACACAAGAAATCCATCCATTTAACTTTTTTATATTATGCTAAATGGGGTAAAATAGTCTGAATGTTAAGTAAATAACTAGTCCCTGGTCTTGGTAGTCTTAGGCCTTATCAGTAAACAGTGTAGGATTTTGTAAATTTTGATCTGTCATTTTTCTATTATTGGGATGCATGAGAAATTCATTGATGTGAAATAACTATTGCAAAGTATTCAAATAATTTACATTTTCTCTTCCCTCATGTTAATTCATTTATCTAATAAAGCATTTACGTTTTGGTTCATCTTTTCTCAAATTGTTTACATCCCATAATATCTTTCATCATTTACTACTTTTATCAGCCTAAAATTTGTATGCATAATGTATGTCACCTTTGTAACCAATAATGTATGTATTGAAGGATATGAGTTACATTTTAAATCTAATGGGCCAAAATGACATGTTAGCCCATTAGCATGATGTAGGATTGAGCCTGGCTTAAAAATGTCTCGTTTAAAAATATGGGCTTTTTTAAGTGGCCTTTAGCAGATTTAAGCATATGCAAAGACTGATCGTAGTGGTATAAATTTTTAATAGAAAAAGATCATTTTATGCATTTCTTTGGTGCATTTGGTTGGAGCAGATAATACTTGTCTCTGTCCTTAATTTTACTACTGGAAATGGAAATATGTTTTTAGTTATCTCATGGCTTTTTCTAAGGTGTTTATGTCCAATATGCAAACAATCTGGATAGAATATAATTTTTATTTTTGTGGATAAGTGGATTTGTCCATAGAGTTTGAAGGAATGCATCATGCTAACAGGTGTTTTTGAAGGATTAATGAATGAAATTTATTTATGTTATTATGGAGTGATTTGGTGGCTTTAGATGGAGAGAAATGCCAGCTTTTAAATTTATTTTTCATACTGTCCATTTATCGATTCTTTGGGATAGTATAGTCTCTTTAACAACTTCCTCGGTAACACCCAAGTTGTTCATATTATGAGAGTTCAATTTTCTTCTTTTCTCACTCAATTCATATTTTCTTTCTATTATATCCCTCCCTTTCCCCAGTATGTCTTATCTCTGTATGTTGTATTTTTGTTTGTACTTCAATGAGTTTTTGAGTGAAACAATATGCTCTTTTATGAATTTTTATCATCTACTTCAACTAGTAATAGTTTTTGAAGCTATGTTGATTTGTTTAAGATATGTGTACACAGTTCTTAACACAATCAATATGTAGGTTTTCGAGAGGATGCTTCAATTCTATAAAGTAAAACACATTCGATCGAGGAAAATCAGAAAATTGTTCTTGTCATATCCTTTCATTGGGTTACTGAATACTGCTGTAAGCTTCTTTCTATTCATTTTATTATATTATCATTGCATATGTAATTTTGTTTAGTTATATGTATATTATTATTTAATTAGCATATTTATATTAAGTTGATGGTGTTAATAGATGATTCGTCACAGTGAGCCCACATTAACTTGTTTGACACCTTATTAGAGATAACTGTCCTAGAAACGAATACACATACTTCAGCCCAGTTTACGGTATATATAATATAGCTACAGACAGGCAACAATTATAAATTGAGAAGCTCAATAAACTCGATTGAAAAACCTTTAAGTGACATTCATGAACATAAATCTTCCAACATAATGATTGAACATTTCAACTCCCTACTAATGAAAAATTGCAAAAACTAGAAAGTGATGAAGTTTGATGATGTTCATATAGAAATTAAAAAACCTTAAAATAAAACATTTTAATAAATATTGTATTAGTATTATACAGCAAAGCACAGATAAATAAAAAAAAGAAGTCACAATGCATAAAAATATTATAGCCCTGGTTGAATAAACTTCTCCAGAGTACTTATAGGGGTAGAAAATAGAAAGATAAAGAGCTATGAAACACCAGTACTTCAATTAGCTTCACGCATCTGTGTCCAATACGTATCGAGTCAGATACTTCACTGATATTTTGTTTGTTTTACATACAATACTTTTAGATAATTTACCGATATCTATATCAGTTAAATGTCCAAACTTTAAATTGTTTATATTCAATAAAAGTTTAAGAAACATATATGTATGTGTAAAATAGAAACATATAAATATTATTTTAAAATTGTTTTTATGAACTATTTTAAGAAATTAATGAGATTAATAGTGTTATTCCTATGTAAATAACAAAAGATATTTTATAATAATAATTATTTATATTTTTTATTTCCATGATATCTAAAAAATGTAATTCGAAATTTGGATTTGCATGATTGTAGTTTTATATTTAGTATGTTTCATGAATATTTGTACATTTTAAAATACGTATCTTATACGTATCGTATTGTGTTTTTTCTAGAATAAATGTATCGTTGTATCCATGCATCATAGAAAAAGAGAAATGAGATTTTTCACAAAGTTGTTTATGCATAAATTAGTTTCTTGAAGTTCTCTCATATTAGATTTTCCAAAAGATGAAATTTAATTTATGCATAAGTTAATTTTAGCTTATTGAGATACATATTTTAATTTTCTTCTCCTATAAGCGTTTGGAAATTATTATCCAAACAGGCCCTATAATTTATGTTCATCAATAGGGGATGCCACAGGCAATTGTGAGTGCTTAAATGGGTACTTGTAGATGAAGACCCGACGTTGCTGTTTCTTGCAGTGGTGGAGTGTCAATTCATGTTTCTGACACTTCCTTCAACACACCAAACCAGTGCCCAAAAGAAAAAATTACAACTAGGAACCCGGTTGGAAATAGGAATATTTAGGAGATAAGATCTTCTTTAAAGTAGCCTAGATACTTGGTTTAGCAACCTTCAATGGATCTTAGGAAGTAGTGGTATTTTAATTGTTCTCTAGTACACTGTTTTGGCTTTAATTTTCTTAATTCTTAGAATTTGGACTCAGGAGGCCCTAACTCAATCCCAAACACAAGCTTGTATTGCCCAAACTTCATAAGCTCTATTTAAGTCTTATCTTTAGTTGATATGAGATTTAAGACAACTTCTGAAAGATACTGCAATGCAACTAAGACAAACTAGGGGGGATTGCAGTTATGCTGACTTTCCAACACTTTTCATGCCTAACTTCCTGGCGTGGTCATTTCCATGTAGATGACCCAATAGTGGATATGAAGTAGTTACTTTCTACACATAACTGTCACAACTACCCCAAACTCAGTTCCTGTCATTTGTTCATTAATATAGTCAATCCACTGGAGAAAACTTATTTAGGGTTTGATACAACTGTTACATTGTATTTATGGGTCTTAGTCCAAACCCTTAACCCTAGTCTAAGAAACATACAAAAAGATAGATGAACAACAGATCTTAACACTCCCGCTCAAGCTGGAACATATAAATTGTTTGCACCAAGCTTGGAACAAATGAATTGAATCCTAAGTCCTCTTAAGATTTTAGTTAAAATATCCGCCAGTTGCTTATTAGACATTAATTTAATTTGTTTATCCTAAAACCTTGTAGGAGGTTTTTTTATAATTTTACTTTGTATTTTTATAGTTTGAATAGGTTTTATGTATTTATGAAAAAAATGACTGATTCACTATTCAACATTCAACCGGTTTCTGGACATCATTATCTAGGAGAGATGGCCGAGTGGTTCAAGGCGTAGCATACAAATTCACAAAATGACAAACAATCTTAATATGCTTTGTTCTTTTATGAAATGCTAGGTTAGAGGCAATATGAGCTGTTTGATTATCACAAAATAACTTCATTTGCTCACTATCACAAAATTTTAAATCTTGAAGGAGTTGTTTGATCCACACAAGTTCACATGTAGCAAGTGCCATAGATCTATACTGAGCTTCCGCACTAGATTGAACAACAACATTTTGTTTTTTACTTTTCCAAGAAATCAAATGTTCTCCAATAAAGATACAATACCCAGTAGTACATCTTCTATCAATGAGACAACCAGCCCAATCTGCATCATACTAACTTAGAATTTGAGTATTACCTTTATCTTCACATAACCATCCTTGTCCCGGGGCCCTTTAACATATCTCAGAATGTGAATCAAGACATCCTAGTGATCAACACAAGGATTTTGCATGAATTGGCTAACTACTCCAATAAGAAAGATATGGTCTAGTAATAATAAGATAAATGAGTTTACCAACCAATCTCCTATATCTTTCTGGATCTAACAACTTTTCTCTTTCATCCTTCATCAATTTCTGGTTAGGGTTCATTGGGTATCAATGGGCTTACAATTTGTTAGACCAGTCTCCTTCAGAATATCAAGAGTATACTTCCTTTGAGAAATGATCACACTTTCCTTTGACTAGGTCACTACAATTGACCAAGATCTTTAGTTTGGAAGTGAGCAAACAAATGATTCTTTAGTTGGCTGATCTTGCATGTAATAACAATATCATCAACATAAACCATAATATACACACACTTGCCTGAAGAGGAATGACAATAAAACACTTAGTGGTTTGCTTCACTCTTTTCAAGCCAAACAACTGCACAACATGACTGAATTTCCCAAACCAAGCTTAGGGTGAGTGCTTCGAGCCATAAAGAGACCAGTCTAACTTACACACTAAACTAGACTTCCCTGAGAAACAAAGCTAGGAGGTTGCTCCATATAAATCTCTTCCTCAATATCACCATGATGAAATACATTTTTAATGTCCAGTTGGTGAAGGGCCAATGACAAATAACAACCATAACAAGGAAAAGACAAATAGTGAAGATCTTAGTTACAACATAAATTTGAGTAAAACCTTTAGCTATTAAACGATCTTTGAGAAGATCCGTTTTACCATTATTATCAACTTTAACTGTATAGACCTATTTACAACCCACAACCTTTTTGCCAAGAGGAAGAAGGACAAGCTCCCAAGTGCCATTGTGCTCAAGGGGTTACATTTCATCAATCATGGCTTGTCGCCATTCAGGGTGATCAAGTGCCTCATGAACACTATTAGGAATAAAAGTATCAGCTAAAGAGACAACAAAAGAAGAATATGAAGGAGACAAGCGATGATAACTTAAAAAATTATAAATAGGAAAGGGATTCCGAGTGGAATGAGTACCCTTTCTAGGTGCAATAGGCCACCAGAATCAGAAGTGGGAGATAAGGTTGAAGGATCCATGGTATGAGAAGCTGATGGAGACAAATCTGAATCACGATTATATGTAGGAACTGGTAAAGATGTAAGAGGGGTCCTGCGATGATATGTGAGAAGAGGAGTATCATTATGACTTGTAGACTGAATTGGAAAAGATTAGGTATTATATCACATGAAGTATAGGCAGAACTTTCTAAATGGATGAACCATCTTTCATGGGGGAATACCTTGGAAAGATAAAAAAGAGGAGGCAGAAAAATATTTTTTGGCATTATCACTCTAAGAACTTTAATTATCTTCCCAAATTGATTTTTAAGTTCATTGAAAAAGTACACAAAAATGGATAAAAGTTTAGATTTATCTTTCATTAAATAAACCCAAGTACATTTGGAAAATTCATCAATAAAGGTCACAAAATACCGAAAACCAAAAGAGGAAACACAACTTGGTCCCTAAACATCAAAATGAATATTTGAAAAAGGTAAATTACATCGGGTTTCAGGCTGTTTCGGAAAAGTAGACCTAACATGTTTTCCTAAGTGACAAAATTCACACTCTAAAACCTGAAGATGTTGAAGATTAGGAGCTATCACTTTCAACTTAGATAGGCTTGGGTGACCCAGACGATCATGCAAAAGTTTAGGGGTAGGAGAAACCAGACAAGACACCGAAGGACTTGGGTTTAGATAGTATAGATCACGTGATTCATGTCCTTCTCTAATTAGATGACCCATACCATGTTCCTGAATAATAAAAGAATTGGAAGTAAAGGTTATAAAACAATTCAAAGAACGAGTCAATTGACTTAGAGAGATTAAATTATATGGACAACTAGGAATGAAAAGAACAAAATTTAAATTTAGAGATGGGGTTAAAGGAACATGGCCAACTCCTTGAAATTTTACTTTGGATCCATTAGCTACAATGATTAAGTGAGGAATTTGGGGATAAGACATGAAGGAAAATGAGGAACTATTACCATATATATACATATATATATATATATATATATATATATATATATATATATATATATATATATATATATATATATATATATATATATATATATACATAGAGACACTTGAATCAAGAATCCAAGATAGACGCACATGACGGTGTATGGGGAAGCTGATGGAGGAGCAACTTGCAGGGGTGGGTAGCGTTCCTTGAGGCGCACAAAACCCCTTCTTCGCCGATCCAAACGGAGACGGTGGCCGACAGTGACAATGACGAACATTAGCCCACAGTGGTCGGAGATGATAAAGGTGATTGGAAATCAGTGCGGGATCTTACCCACTCTGATACCAACTTGAGAAAACTTATTTAGGGTTTGATCCAGTGACCAAAGACATTGATACATTGTATTTATGGATAAGGGACAATAGAGAGGATATGGGCCTCAACCCAAACCCTTAACCCTAGTATAAGGAACATACAAAAAGAATACAAAAAGATTGATAAACAACAAATCTCAACAAATCCCACCTAATGGGACAAGGCTAGGTTATTGTTTTACTTGCTAGAATTTTTAAGTTTTATATCTAGCATATTTAGTGCTTGATCTATTCGAGGTTGTAAGTATTTGATGATTTTAGGATTTCACAGTTGTTGGAATCAATGGTTGAAATTTTTTTTCACGATTCTGTCTCTTTTTTTTTTTTCCTTTCTCATGGGCTAGGATGTATTATTGCTTTTAATACATTTTTTTCTTCGTGCTAATTGTTACATTCTGTATTAATAGTTCAATTATCATTTTTGTTGATGTATATAGTCTCTGCTGCTTGGTTATGTGATTTCCTTTTGAAACATATGTATTAAAGATTATTTGGTAAAGATGTATACTATCATCTTTTGAAAATTTCTCACTTTTCAATGCTTTAGGTTTCATCTATCAAATCTGGAATGCGCAACAACATGTATGATGCTTTCCAAGATATCATTGATAACAAATTAAGTAACTCCCCAACCAAGCTTTCTTCAGAATATGAGACCATAGATGTTGAACCAAGCGAGGAAAATGTGCCCCTTATAACAAAGGATAACATAGGGAATCCAAAGTGTGAGTTTTTGATCTTTAAATTAAGCTTTGGTTGATGTATTTTCTAGATCTATTCTAATATTGAAAAGCTGTTCTTTTATACTTCAGTTTCCATAACTAGTCAAAAGCACAAATATTACAATGAATGGCAATTGGAACTTAATAAGGCTTAATCTGCCGAGTAGCTTTATATGCCTAATTTTATATTATTATATGATAATGATCAAAAATCTGTTTGATGAGTGCTTAAGAAATTTCCTTTCTCCTCTTTTAAATTCCCAAGGATATTGTGTTATTGTTTCTCGTAGTTTTCCTTATTATATATGCTATGCTGACTTGCAAACTTTGATATTGGATGTCACAGGTATTTCTTCTGATGATGTTATGAGAAAAATTGGAACCTATTTTGACCATGACAATGAGATAAATAGAATTAGTAACAACTCACTTGTGCAATATAGAATTATGTTGATGAAGAAGATTTGCAGCTGTGAAAATTGGGTGGCTGAGCAGTTTGGTGTAAAAACTTTCGATTCTCTTGGTTATGGAGATTTCTTATCATTCCTTGAGATGCACATTAACCAGTTGCCTCATGAGCTACTGAAGTTGTTTGTTAGCGACACATGTGAAAATTCCTATGCCCTGGCTTGCATGTCCACAAATCAATTGACTGCTCTAGTATCTCAGGCTCTTAGTACCTTGTGGGAGAATGAGACAGTAACCAAGCAAATGGTATCCATGCTGCTTATGAGGCAGTTCCCTTCAGTTAATTTTGAAGTTGTGGATAATGGCTCTCTTGTGAATCTGCTGGATGCTGTTCAGGGGCATAAATCTAGCGTGACTTCAAAATGTGTTGTATTTTCTGCAACTGTTGTAGGAAAGAACTATCATGGAGAGTCATCAAGTGATAGAGATATTAATTGGTCAGAAATGACCACTGATAGGTCTGAGATGAGTCATAAAAAAAGCACTGAAACAGTTATAGCAAAAAATGCAATTGAAGTCTTGCTTAAGTCACCAATGTTGTCTGACTTGAGCCAGTGGTCTCACTGGGATCTTAGGTTTGCACCCTTCTTAGGCCCTTTAATATTGTGGTTGTTGAATGATGTAAATACCAAGGAATTGTTGTGTTTAGTTACCAGAGATGGAAAGGTGATACGGATAGATCATTCTGCTAACTTGGACACTTTCCTTGAGGCTGCAGTTCAAGGTTCCTCTTTCCAAACTGCAGTGCATTTGCTGTCCCTGATCTCACTTGTTGGGGGGCAAAAATATGTTCCATTGTCACTTCTAAAATGCCATTCTTGTCATGCATTTGAAGTTATGTTCAGAAACTCTGTAGAAGATATTGACGTTGATGGAAATGCTCTCTACCAGTCTGTGGAAGCATCAAGTAAACCAAAAATTTTAACTGCTAAAATGGGAAGTGAGTTTAGCAAACACATAAGCAAAGTGAATAAGGTAGCATCCATTCTGTCAAGGTTTGTGCTTGATTGTCTTGGTTACCTACCGGATGAATTTCACAGTTATGCTTCTGATGTGTTGCTTTCTGGGATGCAATCTGTTATAAAAAATGCTACTTCAGCTATTTTACATGAATGCAGCAATATAGAGCAACGTCTCATGCTTCATGAAGTAGGATTATCTCTGGGTATTTCTGAATGGATTAATGATTACCAAGCACTTATTTCAAACAGCACTTCTGACATTCATTGTACTCCTGTTTCATGGTCAAAAGATGCCAAAACTGACATAAATGCAAGGGATCATGGCCAAGATACTTTGGATAAGTCTCCTATTCCTGAAGCAAATATGGTTACACGTCATGTAGCGAGTCAACTCATTGAAGGGTGTACAGAAATCATTGGAATAGTTGATCCAGAAGAATCTAATGAGGAATCTAACACTGGCTGCCTGGCAAATTCACTTCAAAATGTTGAAGATATGGATGCTTCTTTGCTTATTGAATCTATTAGGCGGGATGAATTTGGCCTAGATTCAAGTCTTTCTGATATTGATACTTGCCTGTTGAAGAAGCAGCACGCCCGGTTAGGGAGAGCACTGCATTGCCTTTCACAAGAACTATATTCACAAGATTCACATTTTATTCTTGAATTGGTGAGAATAATCCTTTAATATTTTATCTTGTGATTGTTATTCCTTTTTCTTATTATTGTTCATAAAACAATGTACTGAAAATATAAGGTGATGTTAAGCTTGAAACAATATTACCTGATTGACAGATGAGTTTAACTTTTAACATTACCTAAGAAGTTGAGTTTTGTTGATAATGGATAAATCTAATATTTAAAATAGATTTAAGATTGTGATAACACGCAAAAAAAGGTTGCTCATATCTGAAACTGAATGATTTTAGCTTTGGAGTACTAACCACATTATATCCACATCATTGATATATTGTTTGTTCTATGCCCGAGGGTGAACAACTGAATGTGATTATCTTAGAGAAATTCTGTTTAAATCTTCAGTATCATTTTGCACTGTTCATGTGCAGATGATAGTACTAAATCTTTCACATTTAACATCCATTCTTAATTTTTAAAATATGTCTATCTTGTTGGGACTTAGTCGAACTATTGATAGCTTTTGAGAGTCAATATGTCCTGTGCCTGATATTTACTCTTTTTGATACAGGTTCAAAATGCAGATGACAATAATTATCCAGAAAATGTGGAACCAACTCTTACATTTATTCTTCGAGATTCGGGTATTGTGGTATTGAATAATGAGCGAGGTTTCTCTGTTCAAAATATGAGAGCACTTTGTGATGTTGGTAATTCAACAAAGAAGGGCTCTAATGCTGGATACATAGGGAAGAAAGGCATTGGTTTCAAGTCTGTTTTCCGGGTATGTTGAAGAATATTTTTTCTATGGATTCTCTTTAAAGCAGTACTGTTAATCCAAAGAATCAACTTCGATTTTAGTTCCCAATTTACATTTCCTGAATTTCCCTCAATTATTTTATTCTTAGAATGTCCTTTAATTTTTTTAATTGCTAAAATGATGTTCCTCCACGATTTTCCCCTACCTAAAACTCTTAAATTCTTCTTTTGTTCTAAAAATTACCATTTGTGAATCCATTAAATCAATTTAAACCATCTTCTGCTCTAGACTTCGTTGCTTGAACCCTTAACCTCCCCATACAAAAGTCTTAGAAATTTGATAAAAAAATTCAATCCCTGAAATTTTCAAACATATTTGGTAAATCCATTCCAAACCTCTACTTTTTATGAGTAAAAAAAGGAGTTTAGGGTTTTATGATAATGAAAACTGAATGAAGACTCAATTGTAATTGGGACAAAATTGTAGTTAAATTATTGAGTGACTAAAATTACAGTGAAGTTTTTATTTTTCAGATTTGAATGCTGAAAAACCAAACTGTTTAGTTCATCTTCTCATATTCTGGTGGCTGCTCCAGCCACATTCTATCATCTAATCATGGAAAGACTTAATGAAAAGAATTTTTTACTGTTTTATTTTTGTAAATTTTCATTTGCCTTTTGGTTTTGTATTTATCTTTATGCTTTTTCCGTTGCTGTATTATGCTTCTGTTAATCTGTTCTATCTTAATATCTGATGGTTCTCAGCGATTTTATTTGTATTATTCCCTCTGTTGGATTCTACAAGCTGTCTACGATTAATTATTTTTCCTAATGCATTGTTTGCCAAAATGTAAATCATATATCAATAGTGTAAGAAACATAATATTTCAGGCTGAGGTGATATGAACAATAGTTTGCTTATTGTCTGGTGGATATATGATTTTTTAATAAGATGCCATATTCTGTTACTATATTTTTCTAATTAAAAATGAAAATTTCTTACTCTGTTTTACTAGGGTTCCATGTTTTGTATTCTACTATTGCATGTATTAAGTTATATAAATGTTTAGTATGCGCACACAAACTGGCATTTATGATCAGCCTGTTCACGAAAACATGACATTTATAACAAAAGTGGCATTTATGATCAAATTTCAATTTGTTCACTATTTAATGAAAAAATGCCCTTTCCCTAATGTTTTCTGATTGAATTGTCATAACAGACATGATAAACTACAAAATCCTTTTTTTCCACTAGGTGATGTCTGCTAAATGGATCACACAATGCCATTTGTCTTGGTTAAGAGAAATAATTAATATAGAAAATATATCTGTTTGCAAGAATTTCTGTTGACACTATAGTTTATAATTTTATTGATTTAAGTAAGCCTCTTATTGAGGATTATGTTTCCTAGACTCTGATAGGATTATCCTTTCCTATGCTTGAACTGATGGTTTTATGGATCTTTCTTAATGTTTAAAATATAATACAATTTTTGTCAAAAGTTTCTTGTGTCTTATTTCCTTTGTCTAGTTATTATCATATTTCTCCTTCTTCTTTAATCAGTCAGGTGTTAATTGAGCTGACTTTGGATTACTACTCGTGCTTTTATTCTTTCTCATATTGTCTATATAGATTATCACTACAAACATTTTTTTCCCTTTTTTTATAGTTTTCGATAGTGAGTTTCATTAACCTTAGTTGTTCCCATTGCAGGTCACAGATGCTCCAGAAATTCATTCCAATGGCTTTCATGTTAAATTTGACATTAGTGAAGGCCAGATTGGTTTTGTTTTGCCCACAGTAATACCTCCTTGTGACATTGGGGTACTCAGGAGGATGGCATCTACTGACACCAGATTGTATGATGATAGTTCCTGGAACACATGCATTCTTCTTCCCTTCAGATCTCATCTATCAGAAGGAATGGCCTTGAATAGTGTTTTAACCATGTTTTCAGATCTTCATCCTTCATTGTTACTATTTCTTCACCGCCTTAAGTGCATCAAGTTGAGAAACATGCTTAATGATACACTTATTGTTATGAAAAAGGAAATTTTAGGAGATGGTATCATTAAGGTTACTCACGGGAAAGAAAAAATGGCATGGTTTGTAGTATCCCAGAAGTTGCAAACAAATTCCATTCGGTTTGATGTGCAGACAACTGAAATCTCTATGGCGTTTACTCTTCAGGAATCAGATAATAGTTACATTCCATGTTCAGATCAGCAGCCAGTTTTTGCATTTCTTCCTTTACGAACATATGGCCTGAAGTTTATTCTTCAAGGTGATTTTGTTCTTCCTTCATCTAGAGAGGAAGTTGATGGAGATAGTCCTTGGAATCAGTGGTTGTTGTCTGAGTATCCTAATTTGTTTGTCAGAGCACTGAGAGAGTTTTGTGAGCTTCCCTGTTTTAGGAATGAGTCTGGAAAGGGATTGTCTTCTTTTTTGAGTTTTGTTCCATTAGTTGGAGAAGTGCATGGTTTTTTCTCCAGTCTTCCTCGTTTGATTATTTCTAAACTACGAATGATGAATTGCTTACTTGTGGACAGTGACAATTGTGAATGGGCCCCTCCATGCATGGTATTGAGAGGCTGGACAGAACAGGTCCGTGATCTTATTCCTGATAGCATGCTTCTTGAACACCTTGGGCTTAGATACCTGAATAAAACTATAGTATTGTCTGATGCATTAGCAATGGCACTGGGCATTGAGGAGTTTGGGCCTAACATTCTTGTTCGAGTACTGTCATCTTTATGTCAACCAAAAAGTACCCTTATATCAATGGGTATGAGTTGGCTAGCCTCTTGTCTAAATACTCTTTACATAACAATGCTCAGTTCATCTGGCTCCACGTCAATCAGTTTTGAAATGAAAGAAGATGTTCGGAAAAATCTTCAAAAGACACCATTTATACCACTTTCAGATGGTACATACAGCTCAGTTAATGAAGGAACTATATGGTTGCAGTCCAATAATTTAAACTCAGGGTTTGATGGTGAGCATAAAATTGAAGCGTTCCCTAATATATGTGCTAAACTAAGGACTGTACGTCCTTCCCTTTTTTCCACATCTTTTGGTACTCAAAACTTGAATGTGACTTTTTTTGACAATATTACCCATTTACTTCAGAGTATTGGTGTTCAACCGCTGTCTGTACATGAGGTTGTGAAGCTGCATATTTTACCTGCGTTGTCTGATGAAACAATGGCAAACAATAACAGAATGCTAATGATCGAATATGTTTGTTTTGTAATGCTACACCTGAACTGTACCTGTTCTGATTGTTTTATCGAAAGGGATCATATAATATCAGAGTTTAGAAGTAAATCTTTGTTGCTGACAAATTGTGGTTTCAAGTGTCCTGCTGATACACAAATTCATTTCGGTACTGAATTTGGGAATCCTATCACTCCAAAAATGTTGACTGATTGTGTGAATATGAGGTGGCATGAGGTTGACCCAAGCTATTTAAGCCATCCAGTAAATGAATCAGTTTCATCTGCAGTGATGAAATGGAGGGATTTTTTTGAGAAAATTGGCATCACAGATTTTGCACAAATAGTTCAGGTGGATAAGAGTGTGGTTGATATACGTGATGCCACGTTTAAGCAGGTAATGTGGGATGGGGGTCTAATATCTGCTGAATCATCAGTCAAAGATTGGGAATCCCCTGAAATAGTGCAATTATTATCCTTGTTGTCTGAAAGTGGCAATCTTGAAAATTGTAAATATCTCTTGAAGGTTCTTGATACATTATGGGATGTTTGTTATAGTAATAAAACAACGGGTTATTTCTATCCTAAATCTGTTGGGGATGGCCATCCCTTTAAGTCTGCATTTATATGCTGCTTGTGTGATATCCAGTGGGTGGTTTCAACCATGGATATTAAGCTACACTATCCAAAAGATTTATTTTATGATTGTGAAACAGTCCGGATGATCCTTGGAGATTTTGCACCATATGCTGTTCCAAAGGTTAGATTCTGGTACATTTGTGTTATTTAGTGATGGAATATAACTTCTCTTTTCAAATTTTCACAACAAACATTTTTCTGGAGTTAGTCAGTGTGATAGCTATCAGTCTGTTATTTCTGTTAGGTTTTAGGCTGAGAGTGACAGCTGTTACATTTAATTGATTCAGCTTGTGCATACAAATTTTATTGTAACAGAGCATAATCAATTATATTCAGTATTAACAAAACTGTTTTTTCTGTCATGTACTTCTATGTATGAGTGGGTTATGCTACTGACTACTTTTAAGTTTCTGATGGGAAATAGGGTTTTAATTAAGAATATATAGATTAATTACCAGTATTTTTTATTTACTATGGCCTTTTTTATGTTATCTTTATGTTGTATTAGAATTGTCTTTTCTAGCTTGAATTTTGGTTGTCATATGTTTGGATTGTTGTCCTGCTAGAGTTAGGATTGTATGTGAGGATATTATGTCACTATCAGCATAAGATTAAATTTCAAAAATTTGAATTTTTGATTAATTGTGATGTTTTTTGACATTTCCTTGTGGTTTCAGTACCTGTGCTACATCAGTTTTGTGTGTGTTTTTTTTTTGGATTTTAAATAATGTGACATAGTTGGCTGTAAAAAGAATAGTAAGTGGAATTTGATATTATGTTGTATTCAATCAGGTGAAAAGTGAAAGATTGGTTAAAGATCTTGGGTTTAAGACAAGAGTTACTCTTGCTGATATTTCGGATATTTTTAAGGCCTGGAGAAAATCAGCAATGACTCCATTCAAGGCGAGGTATGAATGACCCTTTTCAGCTTTTACATCTGAAGTTTAAAATGAATTGTTTGAGTAATTTCCGTACGTTTCATCTAGGAAGATTAGATAGATATGACATAGAGGATGGATGGACGGGACAGCTAAATTTTAAATTAATTGTGCACAGCATTGTTTGTATACAATGCATAATTATTATAAGATCAACATTACAAGCACCTGAGAATTACAGAGGAAGCAAATAGAATGAATTTCCATATATTTTTGACTGCATTGGTGAGCCTAGAGCAGGGATTTCACAACCGGGTCATTAAATGCCTCACAGATAGCCTTTTGGTGTGTATTAATTTGCTGCTTGGTCCTGAGGTAATAAACCCAACAGTAAAAGCAGATCAGAGAACAGAGAATTCTATGTCTGTGTGTTGTGTGTAATCTAAAAGAAACTAAATACATTATAACTCCACTAAAAAATGCAGAGATATATATGCTATTTCAATATGCATGTTAAGTTTCACAAAACATAGTCCCACATAATTCATTTTTATTCACTTAATTATATACTCAAATATGGACTATTCTCTAATATTTGTACTATTTGGTTACAAGGTGAACTAATGCCACTTGAGCCAAAAACATTATTTATATAGCATAAACTACCATAACCAGGTCTTATTTGCTTGACTACACAAATAAGTCAATGTCATTATGTTTTATGCTGCTGTTTAGATGATGATTATGGTTTCTCTAAGGGGATGTCTGTTTCAAAGAATCATTACGTTCCCTGGAATCATATTCTCTTGAACCTTATTGCTAGGAATGTTATTCCTGGTTATATCTAAAAGGTGTTTTAGTTACAACTGTGTCGTAGGAATATTTTTTAAAATCTTAAATAATTTAATTTAAATAATAAATAAAGGAAAGTAATGTGTATTAGACAATGGCTTCTCATTTCCTATCCCTCATGCAAATAGAAATGTAGAAAAACATGGTGAAAATAGAAGTTACAACATTTTGAGGAGTCACTAAAAGTTTTCTTAGCCTTCTTCCTTTCATGACCAAATCACATAGGTAAGTCTTTGTATCTTATCAATAATAAAATTAGGTTACTAAAGCAATTTCAAGAAGTTTTTGTGTCTATAGATAAGTAGGTAGGAAGAAAAAAATTGAGTTGTTAAACTCAGTTTTTTTTAGTAGCTGCCTATGCATTAACTGTCAGTTTCTTTTGTTTTCTTTGTTATCATTTTTAAATTAGACAATTTTACTCACAAATAATATCTATTGTTTTTGCCAGCATAACACAAATGACCAAATTATATGCATTTATTTGGAATGAAATGGCATCTTCGAAGAAGAAAACTATGGAAGATTTGATGTCCGGACCTTTTATATTTATCCCGTACTCATCTGTCTATGATCACAATGATGCTGTATGTGGGACGTTTGTGTATCCCAATGAAGTCTACTGGCATGATTCAACCGGTTCTGTTCAGCAAATGAAGGAGTTCCATCCTCAGAGCAACTCATCTTATTCCCCTATAAACAAGTCATTATGCAATATTTACCCTAGTCTTCGTGGTTTCTTTGTTGATGAATGTCAAGTACAAGAGGCACCTCCTCTATGCAGCTATATTCAAATTTTACTACAGTTATCAACTATCACTTTGCCTTCACAAGCAGCAGATAAAGTAAGTTCTAAGCTATAAATAACTGTTTTCTTTTACCTGAACTCTTACCCTGTTCCCTCTCTCCAGATTTTGCAAGTTTTCCTCAAGTGGGCAGATGGACTAAAATCTGGTTTGCTGGGTGTTGAGGATGTCACGTATCTGAAAGAATGTCTTTACAAATTGGAGTTTCGAATACTTCCCACTATGCAAGATAAGTGGGTTTCGTTGCATCCTTCTTTTGGTCTTGTCTGCTGGTGTGATGATAAGAAGTTGAAAAAGGAATTTAAGCATTCAGAGAACCTGGACTTTCTCTATTTTGGAGAACTGACTGAGGATGGTAAGGATATGGTGCATGAGAAAATATCCGTCCTCATGAAAAACTTGGGTATTCCAGCTATCTCAGAGGTATGATCACTCTTTCTCCTGTGTTTCCTACTTTTTCTGTTATACGATCTTGCAGTCTTATTGAAAGAACGGTATATTCATACTAAAGAAAATATTAAACCAGTAGAAGTTAGTAATTCTTTGCTATAGAAACCAATATATATTGATTAGAGAATTACTAATCAGTTAGTTGTAACTGTGAACACAAAACGAGTAACAGCTGATAGAAAATAGAAAGAGAAATATATCGAACACTATAACTAAATAGAAAAATCAGTTACAACATATACCAAACAGAAAAGAGAAATACCTTTGACACCCCAAGCTCAAGGTGGGTGGATACAACCCACAGATCAACCATGACGAGCTTGGATTTGAGAAAAAGAAATCTTGTAAGAGATGGAGGTTTTGTAAGCATATCTTCATCACACTAATCATGACAAATAATATGTTTAACAATCAATTGTTTAGGAAACACTCTCAAACAAAGAAAATATCAGTTCCATGTGCTTTGTCTCTGTGTAGAATGAGATTATGAAAAAGATTAAGCGTATTGAGATTGTTGCAATAAACATTTGGAACAAAATGAGGTATATCAAATTCATTATGAAGCCTTTGAATCCAAAGGAGTTAAGTTGTGGCACTTAAGAAAACTAATTAGGTTTCCAATACAATGTAAAAAGATACTATTACTCTTGTATTTATAAAGAAGAGATACAAAAGAGAAGATATGGGTCTCAGCCCAAAACCTTAACCCTAGTCTAAGGAACATACTCACAAGAGAAAACCTAAAATCCCCGTCAAGCTGGAGCATATAGATTATATGCATTAAGCTTGAAACATATGAATTGAATCCTAGGTCTTCTCAGATATTTAGTTAAAATGTCTGCAAGTTGCTCTTTAGAGATCACAAACTCAGTAACGAGCTCCTTGGACAACAACTTCTCTTTGACAAAATGGTAGTCAATCTCAATATGCTTTGTTCTTCAATGAAATACTGGATTGGAGGCAATATGAAGAGTTGCATGATTATCACAATACAACTTCGTATGCTCATTATCACAAAATTTTAATTATTTAAGGAGTTGTTTAATCCACACAAGTTCACATGTAGCAAGAGTCATAGATGTATACTCAACATCTGCACTGGATATGTTTCTTACTCTTACAAGAAATTATATTCATTCCAATAAATCCCAGAGTAGACCTTCTATCAATGGGACAACCAACCCAATTTGCATTACAAGAACCTAGGATTTGAGTATTCCCTTTGTGTTCATACAATAATTCTTTTCCTAGAGCTCCTTTTACATATCTTAGAATGCGAATCAAAGCATTCCAATAATCAACAATAGGATTTTGCATGAATTGACTAACCACTCCAATTGCATGAGAGATTCAGTTTGGTAATAATGAGATAGATGAGTTTTCCCACCAACCTAATATATCTCTCTGGATCTGAGAAAATTTCTCCTTTATCTCCCATTAATTTTTGTTTAGAATCCATTGGACTATCAATGAGTTGACAATTTGTTAAACTTGTCTCCTTAAGAATGTCAAGAACGTATTTCCTTTGTGAAATGATCACACCTTCCTTTGACTAAGCCATTTCAATACCAAGAAAATATTTCAAATGACCAAGATCTTTGGATTGAAAATGACCAAATAGATGATTCTTCTATTGACTAATCTTAGTGTAATAGTTGTCTGTAATGATAATATCATCAATATAAACCATAAAATAAATACATTTTCCTAAATAAGTATAATAATAAAATATTGAATGATCCGTCTCACTCCTTTTCAAGCCAAACATCTGCACAACATGATTGAATTTTCCAAACCAAGCTCAGGGTGACTCTTTTAAGCCATAAAGAGACCAGCGTAGTTTATACACCCTTGAGCAACAAAGCCAGGGGGTTGCTTCATGTAAATCTCTTCCTCAAGGTCACCATGAAGAAAGACATTTTTAATGTCTAGTTGGTGAAGGGAATAATGACGAATAACAACCATAGCAAGAAAAAGACGAATAGTGAAAATCTTAGCTACTAGAGAAAAGGTATCACAATAATCAAGACTATAAATTTGAGTGTAGTCTTTAGCTACTAAATGAGTCTTGAGACGATCCATCTTACCATTATTACTAACCTTAATTGCATAAACCCATCTATAACCCACAGTCTTTTTGTCACATTCTTTTTGTTAGGAGGAAGAGGAACATGTTGCCAAGTGCCATTGTATTCAAGAGCTTGTATTTCATCAATTATGGCTTGTCGCCATCCAAGATAATCAAGTGCTTCATGAATAGTATTAGGAGTATGAGTATTGGCCAAGGAAAGAACAAAAGAAGAATATGAAGGAGACAAACGGTGATAACTTAAAAAAATATAAATGAGAAATGGGTATGAGTGGAACGAGTGCCTTTTCTAAACGCAATAAGCCATCTAGAGGCAAAATTATATTTGGGGGATGAGGATGAAGGATGCATGGTATATATGAGAAGTTGGTGGAGAACAATCTGAATCATGAGGATCTTCAGTGACCAGGAAGGAAGTAGGAGGGAACTGCAATGACATGTGAGAAGAGGAGGAGGACCAGTACGACTTATAAACGAAGTTAAAGAAGAACACGTTTTGAATGACCTGAGGATTTCAAGAACTTTTGGTTCTACATATTGCCATAATATTGCTAAGAGTTGAAAATCTATTTTCTTCCACTGGGATCTTTCAGAGATAGAAATAGAATTGGTTTCCTTTTCTAGATGGTCAAGGTACCCCTGACCTAGAAACCAAAGTTCAACGACAGACTTGGATAAATAGTTTTTTCAGTTGAGTCTTGCAATAGTAGTGGTGGGAGTGGCAGAGAAAGGGAAGGTGTTGGTTGAGGACATTTTAACTAGAGAAGAACTAAGAGAGAGTAGCATGGGACCTAGCCGTCAAAGGTCTCAAAATAGAAAAGTAAAGACACCATTGGACTCAGAAGGTATTGACAAGACGAACAACGCTGGTTTGACGTGATTCCGGCTATTGGACGACGGCGCATGACACACACGTGCCTTGGGGGACAATGTTGGAGAAATATGGGTGAAGCCCTGTGGGGCAACAGATGGAGGCATGCTTAGCAAGGTTGAGTTGCGCTCCTCGAGGTGCACCAAACCCTACCTTGCTGGTGGATGGAGACTCACATTGGTCAAAGATGATGATGGAAATCAATGCGAAATCTTGGCTGCTTTGATACCAAAAAAACTAGTTAGGGTTTCAATACGGTTTAAAAAGGCACTGTTATTGTTGTGTTTATAAAGAAGAGATACAAAATAGAAGATAGATATAGGCTTCAGCTCCAAAACCTTAACGTTAGTCTAAGGAACATACACACAAGAGAAAACCTAAAACATGACATATATCTCAAGAGTGGCTGAAGCAAAGCTTCATTAGTTTGCTTCTATATTGGATTTAGCAAGCAGTCCGATGAGATTGAAAATAATTTGACAGACTTGATTAATAATAAATAAACATATTTTCTATTCAGTGTTAATAAAATATTGAAGAGCACCCACCACATATCTATTAAAAGATGGATCAAACAGTAAACATAACTCTGTTTAGAAAGTTTAGAGCTTGAAATCTTAGAAGAGATAGGCTTAGCCCCATACATGTTAGTCATGGCAAGAAGGTCCTCTATGTATTTAGTTTGAGTCATAAGAAGAGACCAATTGGACTCAAGAGGAACTTCTAAACCAAGAAAGTAATCAAGATTACCAAGTTGTTTTAGAGAAAATATTGAAACCATTTTCGAATAAGAGTTTGAAGTAAAGGAGACTTGCTAGTGATCATGATATTATCAACATATACCAACAAATACACAACATAAGACTGATGGTTGTAGATGAATAAAGAAGAATCACACTTGCTGTCTTTGAAACCAAACTGGAGTTATGTTTTTTTGAGATGATCAAGAGCCTGTTTTAGTCCATAAATAGCTTTATGAAGTCTATAAACAAGAGAGGATTTAGATGGAAAAGAATAGCATCTCATCCAAAAACATGACTCATGGGACTAGATATCAAAGGAATAAATGGAAACAAAGAGGATATAGATAGAACATGACTAAAACTGTCAAGAATACAAGAGGGTAATTGGTTAATGAGGTAGGTAGCTGGAAGGACCCCTCCCCCTAGTAGGTCTTAGTCACAAAAATCTTGACAATAAGGGCCCAACTAACTTAAAGGAGGTGCCTGATTTTTTTTTAAGCAATCCCATTTTGTTGTGGTGTATTCATACATGTGAGTTCAAGAATAAAACTTTTTTCGAAGAAAAAGAGGATATAAATAATTATGACTAAAACCATCAAGAATACGAGAGGAAAAAGGGTTCATGAGGTAGGCAGCCGTAAGGACCCCACCCTTGAAAAGAAGGGCCCTAATGACTTAAAGGAGGTGCCTATTTATTCTTTCAGCAATTCCATTTGGTTGTGGTGTATTCATGCATGGGAGCTCAAGAATAAAGCTTATTTTCAGAGAAAAATTTAACCATGTCATGATTTATGCATTATGTTCTATTATCAAAATGCAAGCGTTTTATAGTTTTTTCCAATTGTGTATGTATCATTTGAATTTTTTTTATAAATAATGGAAAAACATTAGATTTTTCTTTCATGAGGAAAATCCACATGGTGCGAGTGCAATCATGAATAAATTAACAAACCATTTAGCATAAGAAATACTAGTATTTGATGTAGGCCCAAACTTCAAAGTTAATCAAATGTCAAACACTTTTGGTATTACTATGAGAATATGACACGATGGTGCATTGCAAATTGCCATATATTGCATTAAGAACATAAAATGATGGATGTCTTATATAAAGATGGAGAAGCCAAAATTGAGAGGATTTAGAAATTATGCAAGACTAGAGACAATAGGGGTTGCATTTTTATTGATACATTTCATGGTTCTCAAGCTTTTAAGATAATACAACCCTCCTTGCTCCTTAACAATTCTAATCGTCCTCCTTGTGGCAAGATCCTAC